AGACGGCCGAAGACGCCCACAAGACCGATGCCAGACGGCTCAAGAGGCCTCCAAGCGAGTCCGAAACCAGCCCAAGACAGCCCCGACACGGCCCAAGGGGTGCCCAAGACGGCCCCAGAGAGCCCCAAGACGGCCTTCAGAAACGGCACCCCTCACGAGGATCGTAGCCTTCCAGCGCGAAACTGAGCGATCTTCGTCCGAAGAGGCACCTACGAGGGTACGCGAGGGTCCTCGGGTTGCCTTTAAAGCTTCTTAAAGGTTCCCCCGACAGCTTGACAAGGCCCCACGAACCTCGCAGAGTTCTCTGAAGAAGGCCCCAAGAGATCAAAATCATTAATTTCCTATGGCTTTCCTAAGATTTTGGCTTCGTTGCATGTTCACTGTTCCGACGTGCCAAGACGGCCGAAGACGCCCACAAGACCAATCCCAGAGGGCCCAAGCAGCCTCCAAGCGAGTCCACAGCCGGCCCAACAGAGCCTCCAGACGGCCCCAGCCGTGCCCAAGACGGCCCCAGAGAGCCCAAAGACAAGCTTCAGAGAGAGCTTAAAAGGGAAAAAACATACAATTGCAACGCGCTCGGCTCCCACACGGCCACGCGAGGCCCCAAACCCCTTCCAGGAGGCCACAAGAAGGGCCACAAGGCGCGCAAAAGGCTTATGATTTCAAGGATTCTGCACCCAGACGCCCACACGAAGCTCCAAGACTCATCAACGGCTCCCCAGACGTGCCACGAGGCGCCCCGGGATTCCACGGATGTTCCTCTGCATTCCCTTCCTCGCATACGAATCTGCCCAAGACGCCCAAACGAGGCCCCTAAACACCCCCATGAGGCATCGAAGCACGACCAAGAAGCCCCCAAGAGGTGCCAAGAGCCATCCCAGAAGTTCTTCCAAGAGGTCAAAATCACTGTTCTTCCATAGTTGTTCGAAGGTTTTTTTTTTCTTTCTCGCATGTTCGGCTCTCCTGACCTCCGAGACAGCCGCACATGCCCACAAGACCACCCAAGAGTGCTCAAGAAGCCTCCAAGCGATTCCACGGGGCCCAAGTCGGAACGTTTGAGCGCTCCACACCGGGCTACAGACGTGCCAGGGAGCGTTTCGACACGTCTTCCGAACGAAGCCCGTACATAACGTTCGTAGAGCTTGCCTGTCCCAAAGTCGCGTCAGCACGCCTCCCCGCGCCCCCCCTGCCTCATATTTTGCAGTATAAAGTTGCATTATGGTCAGAATCCTGAAAGAAATTTGGTTGCGAACCCGGGATTCGATAAGTTTCCCTCTGAAGTCCTTTTCTTGCATTCCATTTGCCCCTTTCGTTGCTTCGAACACCAAGTTCTCCCACTCCCCCTCCGCAACCTCTGCACATTCGCAATGCGAGCCCGCGAGGAGCCCTCGAAGGGACCGCAGGATACCGCGAGAAGCCAGCCGATCCAAAGCTTCAAGGAACAAGATGCATGGCGCGAAGCGCCTATGCAGCCTTGTATATATATATATACATATATATATATATATATATACATCTACATATATATATATATATATACAAGACTGCATTGGCGCTTCGCGCCATGCACCTTGTTCCTTGAAGCTCAGGATCAGCTGGCATTCGTGCTATCCTGGGAGGCCTTTGAGGGGCCCTCGCGGTTATGCATCACGAAGTGGGGCAGGTTGCGGATGGAGGGGGTTGTTACACTGAGACGGCAGAGTGAGATGGTTTTGTCTTCATGCGCGGTTGTCTCTGAGGCTTGGCAAGCGGTTCTTGGGGACTGTCTTGGGCATCTCTTGGGCCTGGGTGGTGCTGTCTTCAGGATTATGGGAGTTCGCTTTCAAGCCTCTGGGGTCGTTTTGGAAGGGGTTGGCGGGCTTCAACGGCCGCTTGCAACGTCGGACGGTCGAGCAAGAGAGAAAGAACAAATCCTTCAAACGCTATGGGGAAATCGATCAATTGTGACTCTCAGTGCTTTCTTCGGAGGACTCCTGAGGTTTTTTGGAGGCCTTTTCGGCGCTTGTTGGAAGTCGTCGATGCTTTTGGGCGCTCTTCTTCGGGCCGCGTGGTTTGTGAATAGCCTGTTGGAGCGGAGAGCTTTTACTTTCGCGCCCGGATGCCACGATTCTTGTGAGGGGAGCGGTTCCCAAAGGAAAACCTTTCGAACCCCCGGTTCGCAACCATATTTGTGTTCAAATGGTTGCGAACCCAGGATTCTGGCCAGAATGTGGCGCGCCAGACGGGGGGGGTGCCAGGCGGCGTGCTGATGCGACTTCGGGGAAAGCGGCCTTGCAGAACGTCGGCGTGGGCTTTGCGCGGGGGGTTCGTCGAGACGTTCGCTCTTGGACGTCGTTGGGCTTTCCGAGCCGTAGCACTCCTGCAGGGATCTGGGGGGTCTCTTGGATCCCCGATGGGAGGAAGCAGGAAGAGGAGCAGGGTTAGGGAGGCAAGGGCACTTGCGGGAGGGAGGAAGGGCCACTCGGGGGAGCCCGCCGGCTGTCCTCCCAAGGGCCCTGTTGCCTTCGGCGTGGTTCGGACCTCGCTTCTACTTCTTTCTTCTAGGAGGTTGAGGAGGAGGGGGGAGACGACGCGGGGGCGAGAGAGGAGGAGGAGGAGGAGGAGGAGGAGGAGGAGGAGGAAGAGGAGTTCGAGGAGGAGGAGCAGCAGGAAAACGACGAGGAGGAGGAGGAGGAGAGGAGGAGAGGAAAAGGAAGGAGAAGAGAAGGAAAAAGAGGAAGACGAGGAGGACTTGCAGAGAGAGCGGGAGGAGGAGGAGGAGGAGGAGGAGGAAGAAAGGGGGGAGGAGGAGGAAGAGGGGGAGGACGTGGAAGGGGAGGAGTAGCAGGAAGAGCAAGTGGAAGAGAAGGAAATAGAGGAGAAGGAAAGAAGAGGAGGAATACGAGGAGGAGCAGGAGGAGGAGGAGCAGCAGCAAAAGGAGGAGGAGGAAGGAGAAGAGAAGAGAAAGGAGGAAGACGAAGAGGTCTTGCAGGGGGAGCAGGAGGAGGGATGAGGAGGAGGGAGGAGGAGGAGAGGAGGAGGAGGAGGAGGAGGAGGAGGAGGGAGGAAGGAGGAGGAGGAGGGAGGAGAAGGACGACGAGGAGGAGGGGGAGGGGGAAGAGAAGAAGGAAAAGGAGGAGGAGGAGGAGGAGGAGGAGGAGGAGGGGGAGAGGCAGAGGAGGAAGAGGAGGGATAGGAGGAGGAGGAGCATTCAGCACATGAAGCGCACACGAATGTATCTGAAGTAATAGGAGCGACGGCGGAGTCCGTCCGACAGGTCGCGCACTTTCGAGCGGCCCGGCGCAAGGCACATGATAAGTAATCCGTTCTCGGTTTCAGATTTCCACAGCAAGAGCAAAGTAGGACGTGAGCTGGCTGGTTCGCTGATGCGTGCGCGTTGGCGGCGCAACTCTTGCAAGCCCGAATGGTCGGAGGTTTGTCCAATTGGGTGTTGGAGAACGCACGTCGCGGTAAGCATCGAGAACATGAAGCGCACACGAATATAACTGATTTATTCGGAGGCATCTCTGCAGTAAAAGAGCGCCAGCACTTGGCACAAACGGCTGTTCACAACGGGCGGAGACCACGCGGGAGGCTGGGCCACCCTAGGAGCCTCGTTGGGACCAATGTGGCTGACTTCGGAACCTCGCGGGCATCCTTCGGAACCTCGGAGCTGCGTGGGGCTTCGGAACTTCGTGGCGCCCTGTTATGCTCGTTTGCTGTCAAGTTGGGTCCTTCTGGGGAGGTCATCAGCCTTGCTTGGGCCATCTTGGAGGCTCGATTGGGGCCCGCAAGCCCTCTCGGGGAGCCCCTCGGATCGGGTGGGCCGTCTTCAAGCGATCTTGGAGGCCTCTTGGCCCCGCGGGGACGTCTGAAAGCCGTTTTGAACGCCTTGTGGGCCGTCGGGAAGCTGATTTCGCGATCGGTTGGACCATGTTGGAGCGGCCTCGGGTGCCTCTGCGCTTTTTTGGGGGCCGTCATGCGGCTGTCATGGGCCATCTTGGACGCCTCTCGGGGCTCGCTTTCGGCCACTTGCTAGGCCGTCGTGGAGCGGTCTCAGGTGCCTTTTCGCGTGTCTTTGAGTTTGGCAGGACGAGAGGCGAGAAAGCCAAAATCGTTCCTAAACATTAGAAAATTCTAGTTTTGGGTTTCTTCGGCGCTTCTTGGTGGCTCTCTGGGCGGCCTTGTGAGCGGGTGGGGGCTTTTTTTTTGTAGGAATTGTTAAAGTTCCTTGGCTGTCAAGGTCAAGCTTCCCGGGGCCGTCTTCGGGCGGCGTGGCCGTATCTGGGGGCTGCCCAAGGCGACTCCCGGCCGCCGGTCAGCGCTGGGGAGAGCCGGGAAGAGCGCCCCGGCAGGATGGAAAATCCGAAATTCGTTCCCGGGGGGGGGGGGGTAAAAATATATAAATAGGAATATATATATATATATATATATATATACATATATACATATATATATATATACATATACATGTGTGTGTTGCTGTTGTCGTTGTTGTTGTTGGTGGTGTTGATGTTGGTGTTGGCGTTGGTGTTGGTGTTGGTGTTGGTGTTGGTGTTGTTGTTGGTGTTGGTGTTGGTGTTGTTGTCGTTGGTGTTGTTGTTGCTGTTGTTGTTGTGGTGTGCCATCTCTTTTTTCGTTCTGTATGCGCCCCTATCATGTATTGTGTAACGTATTGTGGACATGTGTGCAGATGCGCGTCCTGATGCTTACATGGCGAAGGCTGTACATTCGGGCGAGCTCCATCATTTGTGGGGTGCTGGGGCGCGTGTATTCGGGGTGAACACAGCGAGTTCGACCAGAGCTCCGTCCCCTGACGGGGCTGAACGCCCCCTAGCCCCCGCCCTCGCCGCTCAGAACATCTCAGAACCCCGCCGACGTCTAGAACACTTTCTCGCGCGAACCTATATCGATGCACACCCCTACTCTATACGTGACCGTCCATGCCTCCACCGTCGACGTAGTTGGGAGCATTCTCGATGTCTGTCCTACTCGCCGCTGCCTCTTCCCCCCCCCTCCTGAGCTGGTCGACAACGTCGTGGAGGAGGTAGACGAGATCGCGACTCTGGCCGCCAGGTGCCAACGCGCGCAGGGAGAGGACGAGAGCGGGGACACGAGGCTCGCAATGGGCGAAGCCAACAGGGGGGCAGAGAAACAGAAAGGGAGAGTGGGAGCGCTCTAGGAGGGCAGGGCTGGGAGAGGGGAGCGGAGGAAGGGAGGCTTACACCTCTTGTTCACGTTGACCAGATATGAAGAGCTGAGCTTGTTGATCCCGCACCTCATCCTTCTCTTCCTCCCGACGCTCACACTGCTGACACCAGCGTTGATGCCTACCCTTGCGCTGACGCTGCACATCGTTCTCCTTTTCTGTTTGTTCCACCCGACGTCGTGCTGTCATCCTCTGGCTCGTAGCGGTCGTAACCCGCGCCCCCTCTAGGCAACGGCATGGCAGCGATCGTACATACGGGGGGAGGGGGGCCTAGATAGACCCTCCACACACATAAACGCACACACACACACACACACACACACACACGCGCGCGCAAACACACGCAAACGCACACACACACACACACACACACACACACACACACACACACACACACATACACACACACACACACACACGCGCACGCACACGCATACATACACGCACACACCAACAAACAAATAAACATACAGGCACACAAGCACAAACACCCAAACACGTGAACACACAAACACACAAACACGCAAACACGCAACACACACACACACACACACACAACTACACCAACACCGACACAACCATACAAACACACAACCGCACAAGCATAACCAAACGCACAAACACACAAACAACCACAAACACAAACACACACACACACACACACACACACACACACACACACACACACACACAACACACACACACATTACACAACACACAACACACACAACACACAACACACAACACACAACATACACACCACACACAGCACACAACGCACAAACACACACACACACACGCAACACACACACACACACAAGACACACACACAACACACACACACACACACACACAACACACACACATACACACAACACACAACACACATACACGACATACACACACACACACACAACACACACACACAACACACACGCACAAAAAAACAGCGCACCCACAGCACACACACACACAGCACACACAGCACACACACACACACACACCACTCACAACGCACACACGCACACACACACACACACACAACACAACACACACAACCCAAAACACACACACACACACTCACACACACACACACACACACACGCAACACCTAACCCCCAAGCGAACACCAGCAAGCTCTGTCGCCCAGGCAACCCCGAGAAGAATCTTCAGGCTTACGCCACATCCGCCGACCCCTTAATTGAAGTCAATGATCAGATGGTTCGAAACCGTTTGGCGGTTGTTTGAGGGTTCTTGTCGGGTTTCTTGGAAGCTCTTCGGGGCCTGAGAGGGGGCATCTTTGGGGCTGTTCGGGCTACTCCTGGGCTCGTCTTCGAGCTCTCTGGGGCTTCTCTGGGCTCTTCTTGGGCTGCTTTGGCGTCCTCGTGTGCCGTCTTGGGGCCTTTTTGGGCCCCCAGGGGTGCGTTTTTGGTGCCCCCGGGGGTTCCTGGGGGCGGAAAGCGGGGGTCGTCTTGGACAGGCGGAGCCCGATATGGCCACAGTATGCCTGGACGGCCCCACGACGGCCTAATATGGCCACGGTATGCCTGTGGCCATATTAGGCCGTCTTGGGGGGTTCTTTTGGGGTGTCTTGGGGCGGTCTTCGGGGCCTCTTGGGCCGTCTTGGAGCGTCGGAAAGCCCACACGGCGAATGTGCTTTTTTTCTTTGAAAAATGAAAATATAACACACACACACACACACACACACACACACACACACACATGTATACATCTATAAAGAAAAAACGAAGGAGATGAGCCACTTTTTGCGTCTAGGGACCCTCTTGGGACGCACCTTGGAGGCCTCTTGGGGGCGTCCTGGGCCATCTGGAGGCCATCTCGGGTGTCTTTGATCGCTCTTGGACCGTCTGGGACCATGTGGAACTCTCTTGGAAACCAGTTGGAGCGCTCTTGGAGCGCTCTTGGGGCCGTCTTCAGGGCTCTCTTGGGCCGTCTTCGGCGCCTCTGGAGCCGTTTTGGGCCCTTCTTGGGCTGTCTTGGGGCCCTCTTGGAGGCTTCTTGGACCGTCTTGGTGCGGTCTTGGAGGCCTCTGGGGCCGTCTGGGAGCGTCGGAAAGCCCAAAAGGCGAATTTGTGAAACATCTACGTTTCACAAAGGAAACGTGCCAATGTTTGCGGTTAGAGGCCCTCTTGGGACGTATCTTGGATGCCTCTTGGGGCCTCTTGGGGGCATCTTGGACCGCTGGAGGCCATCTTCGGTGTCTTTGATCGCTCTTGGACCGTCTGGGACCATATTGAGCTCTCTGGGAGGCGACTTGGAGCGCTCCTGGAGCGCTCTTGGGGCCGTCTTCGGGGCCCCCTTGGGCCGTCTAGGACGCCTCTTGGGCTGTCTTGAGGCCCGCTTGGGCTATCTTGGGACCCTCTTGGAGGCTTCTTGGGCCGTCTTGGGGCGGTATTGGGGTCCTCTTGGGCCGTCTGAGAGCATCGGATAACCCAGAAGGCGAATGTATGAAAATTGTATGTTTCACGAAGGGAATGGGCCAACTTTTGCGTCTAGGGACCCTCTAGGGACGCATCTTGGAGGCCTCTTGGGGACCTCTTGGGCCGTCTTGGAGGCCCATCTTTGGGCCAGCTAGGGCGTCTTGGAGCGCTCGTTTAGCGTCTCGTGGCCCTCGTGGGCCGTTTTGGAGGCCTCTTGGTGCTTTCTGGGCCCGTCTTGAGGCCCTCTTGGGCCCGGAAAAGCTTCGTGGTGCGCTCGTCCCGGGCGAGGGGGAAGGGTCAAATCTCCGGTTTGGGGTCCCTTAAGGGGGGCTATGGGGGGGGGAACTATTTCACACGCCTAGAGACCCACAAGGGGTCGGCGGACTACTCCCGACCGTGCGTGCTGCGCTCGCGAAGCCCTCGACAGTGAGGCTCAGGGTCGGCCCTCCTCCCACTCCCGCTGGAACGTCGACTGCCGCTCCGTGCTCGGGGAGCGAGGGTGCTAAGGGGGCCGCTGGAGGAACGCGAGGGGGGAGAGACGCCTGAGAGGGGATGGGGGCGGCTGCCATGTAGCGACCGCGCGCGCGTGTTGCTTGCTCAAAGTGCGCGCCCTGGGGGGTCCCCCCCTCCCCCCTCGCGCGGCCGTGCTCCGTCGGAAGACGCAGGACGCCCAGGGCGGCCAATTCTGCCACGAGGGACCCAACGTCGGGGCAGTGCTCCTCGATGGAGCGGCCACTGCGCGGCGTGGCCAGACTGCGGTCCCCTCTTCTGCCTTGCTCGCCTCCGCGGCGCTGCCGGCGGCTTGTTTGGTGGCCCCGCCCAGCTCCCCGCGCACCGCCGCTCCGCCCGCGCGCGTGCGTTGGGTTGCGAGGGGAGCTCCTCCTCCTCCTCCTCCTCCTCCTCCTCCTCCTCCTCCTCCTCTCCTCCTCCTCCTCCTCCTCCTCTCCTCCTCCTCCTCCTCCTCCCTCCTCCCTCCTCCTCTCCTCCTCCTCCTCCTCCTCCTCCTCCTCCTCCCTCCTCCCTTCTCCTCCTTCTCTTCGATCCTCCTCGATCCTCCTCCTCCTCCTCCTCCCTCCTCCTTCTCCGCGAGCATGGAGCGCATCGACGACTACTACTTGCGGGGCCACCGCATCTCTACGTACCACCCTGCAAGTTACCCTTCGATGCACCCCCAGTCCCTGTGCTTGCCCCTTGCCCCTCCCACCACTCGTGCCAGCGTCTCCTCCGGTCGGCCACTGGCAGCGGCATATGCAGTGGCCCTTGGTCCCAGAGATCCAGCCGTTCGCTCCCCCAGCGCACGCTGGCCCTGATGGCCCCCGTGAGTTTTCCTCAGCCCAGACTCCGCCAAGGTCGGGGACCCCCTTACCTTTCGTTTCTGGTGGATACCCAGACATCCGACGCTTCGATTTTTTCGAGACGCGGGCCCCCGACCTCCCGACCACTTCCCCGGGACCGGTTTTTCGTCCCGAGTCGTTTCTCGACGGTCCCGAGGCCCAGCGAGGGCCCCGAGAGGCCGAAAACCAGGAAAAATGTCCGTCTCCATGTTTTCGAGACGCCCGATGTCTGGGTACCCCTGGCACCAAGGGCCGCACCGGGCCCTCGCGCCTAGACCTCCACGAGGCGCGTGCCGTCGCCGATCTCCAGGAGCACCCTGGCCCCGGCGGGCGCCAGCAGAGAGCCTCGCCGTGGGGCTCGGCACGCCATGCGCCCCGCGGCGGCCTCTCATTCTAAGAGGGCGGGGCCCCTCCCCCACGACGCCCGACGGGGGCTCCCCTCCTTTGCAACCTTTGCAGCGCGGCCCAATGTCGCTCCCGCGACGTGGCCGACGCCTCGGCGGCTCGTGCCGCGGAGGCTGCGGGCTTTGCCGCTCAGGCGGCGCACAGCACGGCTGCTGCGCCCGCACACGTGGGGGACCCGCAGGCCTCACGAGTGGGCGCCCCTCCATTGCCCCTCCCAGGGGTACCCCCCCCCGCCTGGCCTGGACAAGCTGGATCTTGGCAACGTTCGAGCTGCTTCAGTCCAGACCCGCCAGGGTAGCGAACGGGACGCCATGCTCGCCCCCCCTGTCTGGGCAGGCTCTGTCGGCAACGTCGGCTTCCTGGACGACCGCCGCATCCTCGACGCGGCGCTCACCCGGGCGCGCGATGCTTGCCTCGTGTTCGCCAGCGCGCAGGGGTGGGGTCCCCTCATCGGCTGCGGGCTACGCATTCTCCTGGAGTGGGCCCTGGAAACCAGCGCAGTTACGCGCTTCGGCCACCAGGCCTGCATGGCCATCCCACGGCCCGCCCCCCGGGAGGAGGCGCTCGCTACAATGCCCGACGACGAGCAGAAGTTCACTCCCCAAAAAGATCCCCGCAGCGGCTCCGCTCAGGAGCTCCGTGCCCAGCACTCCTCGTTCCAGCGCGACCTCCGTGCCTGGCCACACCCCGCCGTCGACCCTGCCCGCGCCTGCGGGCGCATCTCCCATCACCCTTCGGCCCTGACGAGCAATCGCGCCTTCATCGCAGGTTTTTGGTGCGTCGCTACCCTTCACCCGCAATTTTACAACCTCAGCAACATGCCCCTGGACCCCGCGAAGCGCGACCGCAAGGCAGTCTCCTACTCCGGCTTCTCCCGCTGCCCCGTCCTTGGGCTGGGCCCGAACAACATGTTCCTCAGCGCAGCCACCCCCAAGAAGTTTTTTTGTTCGCGCTGCAGCCTTCATGACGTGAATTTCCTGGCTGATCCCTGGACGGAAGGTGAAGGAGCACTCCGCTCCTGTCCCCAGGCATCTCCGCCAGGCCAAGCAAGGAGACTCCCTCTTCGCCGCCCACACACCGGTTCTGCCCGCCTTGGTGCACTGAGGCCACCCAGACGTGCAAGCGCCTCTAAGCGCCCATACCTGCAGGCCCACTGCAGGCATTGGCGTCGCCGTGCTCGGCCCCCCTGGAGAGCTCTCCGGCGCTTTCTTCGCTGACCCCCCTAACCCCCAGAAGGCGCTCGCCGTCCTGTGCGCCCTCTGGATGCACCGCGACATGGATACTGCGCTTCCTCCCATCCGCAACCCATCCGCCACCAGCGACCTCTTCGATGCAAGTGCCGGCATCGTTCGCAGCTGCGCACCCGGGGGCAACTTGCACCACTCGGTCCGCAACCTCTCCCAGGCCCATGCCGGCACGATCCCCGACATGATGGCCAGCTTTGAAGGTTTCCGCCAGGGGGTCCGCGAGCATGCTGTCTGCTCCGACAAGGAATATGACTTCTGAGGCGACGCAGAATTGCAACGTCCGGGAGTGGCTGGCCTCCCAGCCAGCCGACAGGGCCACCAAGGTTTTCGAGCGTTTCTGGTCCGGCCAGGAGACAGCACCCGATGTTGCCCCGTCCGTAAAACCGAGTGCACGTTGCGCCTTTGGCTCGGGGCTCTTGGCATCACCCCCCCCCCCCCAACGCCCTGGGAGAGCCACTCGAAGGCGCGCAGGGGCGCATGATGGGAATATCAGGAGGAGGAGGAGGAGAAGAGGAGAAGAGGAGGAGGTGGAGGAGGAGGAGGAGGGGGAGGAGAAGGAGGAAGAGGAGAAAAAGTGGAGGGGGAGGAGGAGGAGGAGGAGGAGGAGGAGGAGCTGGAGGAGGGGATGGAGGAGCAGGAGAAGAAGGAGGAGGAGAAGGAGGACGAGGTCGAGGACGAGGAGGAGGATGACAAGGAGGACGACGACGAAGAAGAAGAGAAGAAGACGAAAAGGAGGAGGAGGAGGAGGAGGAGGAGGAGGAGGAGTAGGCGGAGGAGGAGGAGGAGGAGGAGGGCGAGGAGATGGAGGAAATGGAGGAGATGAAGCAGGAGGAGGACGAGGAGGAGGAGGAGGAGGAGGAGTAACAGAAGGAATAGCAGGAGCGGCAGGAGCACCAGGAGCACCAGGAGCACGAGAAGCAGGAGAAGGAACAGGACCAGGAACAGGAGCAGGAGCAGGAGCAGGAGGATGGCAGCGCCAGCTTCAGGACTGCCATGCCTACAACCCGAGCAGGTGGAGGAGCATGAAGAGGAGGAGCAGGAGGAGAAGGAGGAGGAGGAGGAAGAGGAGGAGGAAGAGGAGAAGGCTCAGGCTCAGTATTGCACATGTCCCACGTTAATTAATATCCTCTCTCGTGTCGTCGCGCTTCCCCAGCTCGTTCCGCGCACTGTTGTTCGGTTCGGTCTCGACTATCCGTCCCGCGAGTTGCTTCTTGTTCGCGCTGCCGCTGCCATGCTCTGTAATGCCCTCCGCGCTCATGGCCTGCCTGTCCAAATTCAAGTTGCTGAACGCATGGTGCCGACCATACAGTTCCAGCTAAGGCGAGGTTGAGCAGACCAGGGGCATTTTGCGCACGTCACGTACGAGGAGCAGCAGGAAAGGGAGGAAGAGGAGGAGGAGGAGGAGGAGGAGGAGGAGGAGGAGGAGGAACGGAGCCAGCAGCAACAGCAGCCGCGGCCGTGGCTTCGGTCGCAGCCCGGCTCGGACACGGAGGCACCAGTGAAGGCAGCAGCAGCAGCATGACAAGTACTCCAGATTTCGTAATAAAGGGAGGGGGGTCTCATTTCGGGGGGCGGTCTCTTCCAGGCTATCTTGGAGGGCCTGGTGGGTCTGGGGACGATGTTTTGGAGGGTTCTCCCACGGGGGAGGTCTGAAGTGGCTTGTCTTGGAGGGTCCAGACCCCCTCCCTTTTATTACGAAATCTGGAGTAGTTGTTGTCAGTGCTGCCGCTGCTGCTGCTTGCCGTCGTCCTCTTTGACGCTTGCCGCCCGCCCCTCGCGGACACGTGCGCGCCCGCATACGCGCGCGCGCCGTTCTGCGATTCGCGTTTGCTGGCTGCATTCCTCTCTCTCCCTCTCTCTCTTTCCTTCTTCTTTCCCACACTCTCTCTCTCTCTCTTTCTTTCTCTCTTTCCTTCTTATCTCCTCTCTCTTTCTCTCTCTTTCCTTCTTGTCTTCCTCTTGTTGGCTACATTCCTCTCTCTCTTTCTCTCTTTCCTTCTTCGTTCCCACTCTCTCTCTCTCCCTCTCTTATCGGAGGCGACGGGGTGAGATCGCAGCGAGACGGAGAAGAGCCCCCCCCCAGGGAATCGGTTTCGGCTCTGTGTTCACGTCGCGCGTGCGGGCGATGCGAAGCTGCGTTTGCGGGCGAGAGGAATGAACCCTCGTCTGGCTAGGGCGCCGCCAGGCCAGAAGACCGCCCCCCCCCCCAGAATTGGTCGGCGGTGGCCAGGGGTGTCCTGCGGTGGTGTGCCGATGGTGTCCCATGGTGTCCCCTGGTGTCCCGTGGTGTCCCGCGACGGCCCGCGGTGGCCCGTGGTGTCCCGTGTTGCGGTGTGCAGTGGTCGATAGTGAGATCGTTAGTGGCATCGATTGTGCGATCGATAGTGAGATCGATAGGGAGATGGATAGTGAGATCGATAGTGAGATCAATAGTGAGACCGATTGTGAGATCAATTGTGCTATGGATTTCCAGATCGATTGTGAGATCGATAATGAGATCGATAGTGAGATCGATATTGATATCGATTGTGACATCGATATTGAGATCGATTGTGGGATCGATAGGATCGATAGTGAGGGCGATAGTGAGATCGATCGTGGGATCGATGGTTAGTGGGAGAGTGAGACTGGTTGTGATATCGATAGTCAGATCGATGGTGATATCGAAAATGAGATCGATAGGGCAAATTCGATCGATTGTGAGATCCATAGTGAGATCGATTGTGGGATCGACAGTGAGATCGATAGTGATATCGATCGTGAGATCATTAGTGAAGAACGATCGTGAGATCGATGTTGAGATTGATAGTAGTGAGAGGGATATTGAGATCGAGTGTGAGATCGATTGTGGGATCGATAGTGAGATCGATGATGGAATCGATCGTGTGATATCGATTGTGAGAGCGATTGTGAGATCGGTCGTGAGATCGAGTGAGTGAGACGTTGGTTCCTCCTCCCCCGAATCTCCTTATCGCCCGAAGGGTGGTAGTATAGGCGTATATTCTCATACATATAAATATGTATATATATAGAGAGAGAGAGAGAAAGAGAGAGAGAGAGAGAGAAAAAAAAATAAACATAACAAAAAAACTGATGCTTCGCCGTCTCGCTATCATTATTTTCCTCTATCGCCCCTCCCAACCGCCGCAGCAAAAGTCTCTCTGCTGAGGTGTCCGTCCTTACGGCGGCTAGACTTGCGAGAGAATCCGGTCGCCTCGGAGCCCGGGTACGCGAAGGCGGTGAAAAAACACCTCGCGGAGTTGGTCCGGGATAGAAGGAAGAATGTGCAATGGGGGGTGTGCGGAAGGAGCAACAGACGTACCCTTCGCCCTACGTGTGCAGTATTGCCACATCATGGTTTCATGGCGAAATTTGGATCCAGCGATGTTCAAGGTGCGTTTGTGGAGAACCGTGATAAGGGGAACAGTTCAGACTGAGAGCAGGAGCAAGGAGAAGTGGAGGAGGAGGAGATGTGGGGAAAGTGGGTGAGGGAGAGAGGGAGGGAGGGAGGAGGGGAGAGAGGGAGGGGTTAGGGAGACAACTCTTTGTCCCCCCTGCCCTCCTATCTCCTCCTCCCCCTCCTCCTCCTCCTCATCTTCTTCCTCCTCCTCGCTCCTCTTCCTCCTCTTCCTCCTCCTTTTCCCCCTCCTTCTGGCTCCTCCTCGCTCCACGGTTCTCGCTCCCTCCTCCCTCCTCGTTCCTCCATCTTCTCTCCTCCTCCCTCTTTCCCTCATCTCCCCCCTATCTCTCTTTCTCTTGCCCCTTTCCTCAAGCCTTCCCTTCGCTCCTCCTCCTCCTCCTCCTCTTCCTCCTCCTCCTCCTCCCCTCCTCCTCCTCATCCTTGCTTGCTCGCTCCTCGCTCCTCGCTCCTCCTCCTCCTCCTCCTCCTCTCCTCCTCCTCCTCCTCCTCCTCCTCCTCCTCCTCCTCCTCCTCCTCCTCCTCTCCTCCTCCTCCTCTTCTCTTCCTCCTCCTCCTCCTCTCCTCGCTCCTCCTCCTTCTCCTCCTCCATTATCCTCCTCCGCCTCCGCCTCCGCCTCCTCCTCCTCCTCCTCCTCCTCCTCCTCCTCCTCCTCCTCCTCATCTTTTCCCCGTCCTCCCTCCGCGCGTGCTGAGCCTGCCGGGTCAAGGTCTGGCACAACAACCAGTCCCACAAGAGGCACGTGGCAGTCGGCCGGGACAAGATCGCATATGGCAGTTTGGACGCCGAGGCAGTCCCGCGGCAGAGTTTTGGGAGATCAAGGGCTCCCTCGAGGGCGCGAAGTTATTCGCGCTTCGCGGTCCTCGTTCCTTCTCCCCCTCCTCCTCGTCCTCCTATTCTCCCTTTGGGAGGGCGGCGCGAGAGCGCGAAATTATTCGCGCTTCGCGCAGCGCGAAGCGCGAAGTTGGGAGCCCTAGGAGATGCTCAGTCTCATGTTTCGAATAGGGGATCGACAACATAATTGGTTGCGAAGGCCTTACGCCCGGTGCCGCCGACCCTGGGAGCGACGAGGATGAAAACGAGGGGGGGGGCAGGGGGAGGAGGATGAGTGGGAGGTGGAGGAAGGGTGGAGGAGGTGGGTGAGGGATGAGGGGGGAGAAGGATGTGGAGGATAAGCAAGAGGAGCAGAAGGAGGCAGAGGAGAGCAGGAGGAGGGGGAGCAGAGGGGGGGGGGGGGAGGGGGAGGAGGAGGAAGAGGAGGAGGCCAGAGGTTTTCTTGGAACAGCCTGGAGCTCTCTTGAGGCCGTCTTGGGCCGTCCAGGGCTCCTCTTGCGCCGTCTCGAGACACTCTTGGAGGCCTCCTACGCAATTTTGGGCTCTCCTGGGCTGTCTTGGGGCAGTTTGGGGGCCCCTTGGGGGCCTCTTGGGGCCTCTTGGGGATTTTTCGGGGCCTCTTGGGGGCTTCTTGGGGCTGAGAGCTCGAAATGTCCGTTCGGGTCCCCCGCCTGGGCACTCTCCTGGAGTCGTCTTGGGGGGCTCTTGGACCGTATTGGAGGCGTCTTGGGCCGTCTTGGGGCCCTCTTCGGCCGTTAGGGGACCCTCTTGGGGGCCTCTTGGGCCGTCTCGGGGCGATCTTGGGGGCCTCTTGGGCCGCCTTGGCGCGTCGGGAAGCGGAAGAGGCAAGAGCGCCAAATCTGTCAAAAACGTATAGGAAATCCATGAATTGTACCTCTTGGGGCTCTCGTGGGAAAGCTCCTGGAGGCTTCTTGGGGCACTTTGCAGGCCTCTTGGGCCGTCTGGAGGCCGTCAAGGCGTCTTGGACAGATCGTTCGGCGATTCGGGGTTCTCTTGGACTGTCTTCGGGGCCTCTTGGGGCAATCTTGGCCCGTCTTGGGGCTTTTTGGGGCTCCGGGGCTCCCAGGGGGGCGTCGTATCTGACCCCCCCGGGACCCCCCTGGGATCTCCCCCCGGGACCCCCCCCACGGGAACCCCCTCCCAGGAACCCCCCCGGGGACCCCCCCCCCCGGGATCGAAGGGAAGGGGCTTCCCTTCGATTCAATTACAACGTTGCTCAGCTTCGCTTTGGCTGGCGCGCTGAGGAGGTCCCTGGGAAGGGGGGTAGCTTCGACGAGCCCAGGGAAAGGGGGAGGCAGGGAAAGGGGACGACAGAGACGACGACCAACGAATGACGGAGATGACGACTTGAACGGACAAGCCCCTCACACACGCCGACAGGGTTGGCGGATTTACCCCAGAATTGATTTTCTTGCCGAATCTACGGAAAAGACTTGGGATTCTCAGCATATTTGCTAACCTTCTGCGCTTTCGTAGTTCACTCGATGGGCAAATCAAGTGTGGGGCAAATCGATTCTGCGGTCGATCCCCTATTCGCACGTTCTCCCTCTCAGTCTCGTTTTCTCTCCGTGTCTCTCTCCCTGTCTCTTGTGCCGCCGCCTTGGCGCAAGCCGTCCGGCTCGACCGTGCCCGCACAGCGCGCGGGGGCTCAGGCCTGCCCCGCTTCTGGGGCGGAGGCGTGCGGACCGCCCCGCCATGCCGGGGCAGCCCGCGCAAGAGCGCCGCAGCGGGAAACGCCCAAGTCACCAAGGTCCCCCGCCACTGGCAAACCAAGGCGAGCTTCCAAAATGCCAAGGACACTGCAACCAGACACGAAAGAAGCAGTCAGCAAATGAGTTCTGCCAAGGCGATTCGCCCGCAGACGAGCCACCCTGGCCCTGGAGTTTTCCTCGGCACCAGCGCGAGCGTGTCGCCGCGCGGGCTCTCCGCCACGCCCGGCTCGCAGGGGCCCGGCTGGCTCGCGCCGAGCATCCAGAGCGCGGAGCCCCTCGGCAGCGTGGACCAGGGCACGGGGGCGCCGCCGTTCTCATCGAGGCGCCCGCGGTTCTCCGCGACACCAGCTTGGGCCCCGCGCCCCACGTGCCTTGCGGCCCCAGCGCTACAGCTCCCCTGCTCCAGAAGTGGATCCGCCGGTGGCTTGCTCGCCGCGCACGTCGCAGGGCAACAACCTCTGCGCAGCGGCTCCGCGTCGGCGAGTGCATCCACTTCACGCCTGTCGTTCGCTCTTGCCCGCTGATGGAGCCCAAACAGTGTCCAGCGCAAGTACGGCAGCAGCTGTCCGTTTCTGGCTGCCGGCCAGTGCAGTTCAGGCACCATTGCGCTGAGGACTTCCAGGTGGAGGCGCCGCAATGCAGGTTGCTCGACCGTTTGGTGCTGCAAGAAGGAAGTGCGCACCCATCCTTGCGAGGGATATTGGCCCGATGGGCCGTGCATGTGAATCCTTGCCCCGTGACTGTCTGCGACCCAAACCTCGCCTCCTTGAGGAAATCGTCGAGGATGGCGGCGCGGGCCGCCAGAATGGAGGCGGACGAGTAATTGGCAATCGAAGACGACGAGTTCTCTGAGCACATGCATCTTCCTTTCGCGTCCTACGCCCTGGATGTCTTGCCTGAGTGTGCCCGCCAACTCCGGGTGTCGATGAGCAACAAGTGGACTGTGTCCACGATTTCGAGGTGATACAGGACTAGACCGCACTGACATCGCTGGGGTCACATCCGCTGGGGCCTGCAGGCCAGCCGTGCACCAGCGTGTAAACGACGACGTCAGGGGCGAACCCGAGATGTCAACGAGCACGCCAGCCGCGCAAGAAGGCGATGGAAAACCGTCGCGAAGGCAAGGCATGGGCAGTGCTCGAAGCCGTCGCTCACGAAAAAGTGATCGAGCGCGTCGGTGCGGGCAGCCAAAGCCACTGTAGCGGCTTGCCCATCCCCTGAAGTTTGGGGCGCTCATCAACGCTGCTAGCCGCAGGCGCAGCGGCACCTCCAGGCTCAACTGTTAGCACAGGGTCAAGCCGCAAACTGCAACATCAGCTCCTCGCGTGGCCGAGCCAGGTGTGCTTCGCCCGCCCGGCCGCCTAAACCCGCGAACTCGCCCCTGGGCGCCGGCCAGTCGCGCGATGTTGTGAGGCCCATGTGCAGACACACGCGGGCGCAGGGAGGCCCCCCCGTACCCAGGCTTCATCTGTCTGGAGAAGGGGCGGTCTGCGTCTCAAGCCCCCCCCCCTCACCGCCACAGGAAGAGGTCCTTCCAAAGGCCAGCCTATGTCATCAGCTTTTGCATATTCGATTTCACTCATGGTTGCTGCAAGCGCTGCTACTGCCTCCTCCTCTTCAGACCCTGCCGGACCCATCATGCACGACTGCATCTGCCCCTCCAGGAGCTCCGACATCTCAAAACCTTGGGTGGTCTGCTCCCAGTGCTGGAACTCAGCAGGCCTCCTGCATTTCTCTTCCTCTTGATCGGCGCGACGTTCAGCCTCCAGCTCCTGAGCATTTTAACTCCTCTACCACATGCGGCTTCTGGTCGTATTTCTCCTGTTCGTTCATGGCCTCGTGCGCTCTCACCTCCTCCGCGCTGTCCAACGTGGTCTGCCCCCTAAGGCAGTTGGGTGCAGCAGTTCGGCCAACCCCTCCTGGATTCTTCGTGACGAGGGTTTTGGGAAGGTTTTTTGGAAGGCCCCAGGAATCTTGGACTCTTCGCGACGGGGGTTTTTGGAAGGTTTTTGTTGGAAGGTTGTTGGAAGGTTTTTGGAAGGTTTTTTGGAAGGTTTTAGGAAGGTGTTTTGGAAGGTTTTGGGGAGTTGTTTTTTGCTTTGTTTTTTTTGTGTCTGGGGGGGGAGGTTTTTGGAAGGTTGTTTAAAAGGTTTTTGGAAGGCGTTTGGAGTGTATTGGGCGGTTTTGCTAAAGTTTGGAAGGTGTTGGGAAGGTTTTTGGAAGGTTTTTTGGCAGGTGTTTGGAAGGTTTTCGGAAGGTTTGTTGGTAGGTGTTTGGAAGGTTGTCTGAAAAACCTTCCAAAAAACCTTCCAAAAACCCTCGTCACGAAAAATCCCGGACACCTGGAACCTTCCAACAAAAACCTTCCAAAGACCTTCGCCACGAAGAATCCAGGATTCCCGGAACCTTCCAAAAAAACTCCCAAAAACCTTGGTCACTAAGGTTTTTGAAAGGTTTTTTGGCCAACCCGTCTTGGATTCTTCGTGACGCGGTTTTCTGGAAGGTTTTTTTTTAACATGTTTTTGGAAGGTTGTTGGAAGGTTATTTGAAAGGTTGTTGGACGGTTTTTGGAAGGTTGTTGGAAGGTTATTTGGAAGGTTTTTGGAAGGTTTTTGGAAGGTTATTTGGAAGAGTTGTTTGTAAGTTTTTTGGAAGGTTGTTGGAATAGATTGGGCGGTGTTGCTAAATGTTCCCCAATCAGAGCTTGCTTCTGTAGGGGTCCTAGCGGATTAAAGGGTTAGGTGAGGTTTGTCGCCGATTTCGGCGGACGGGCCCGGGGGCCCGGGGGCCTGGGTGCCCGGCGGTGCCCGGGTGCCCGGGTGCCCGGTGAGGTGCGTGGCCGATTTCGGTGGCTGGGCCCGGGTGCCCGGGTGCCCGGGGGTGCCCGGGGGTGGGGTGCCCGGGGTGCCCAATAGCCCAATAGCCCAGTAGCCCTATGGCCCTATAGCCCTATAGCCCAAAAGCCGTATAGCATTATGGCCCTAGAGCCCTAGAGCCCTACACCTTAGGCGATGCTTAAGAAAACTTAAGTTTTCGGCCAAAGTCTCGATTATTCTTAACGTTTCAATGTAAATCTTAAGATTGTAATGGAAATTGTGGGTTTTTATTCAAATTCTGAGACTATGAATTTCTTAACCCATGATTTCTTAAGCATTTCGCAGGGTGTATAGCTCTAGAGCCCTATAGCCCTATAGCCCTATAAGGTTCTATAGCCCAATAGCCCTATATCACTATACCCTTATAGTCATATAGCCCATATAGCCCCATTGCCCCAACAAAATATGATTGGGTTTTTTCTCCGGTATCATTGGAAGGTTTGTTGGATGGTTGTTGGAAGGTTTTCGAAGGGTTTGTTGGAAGGTTTTTGGAAGGCTTTTGGAAGGTTGTTTGGAAGGTTTTTGGAAGCTTCCGAAAAACCTTGCAAAAACCTTCGTCGCGCAGAATCCAGGATTCCTGGGAACTTCCAAAAAACATTCCAAAAACCCTCGTCGTGAAGAATCCAGGATTCCCGAAACCTTCCAAAAAACTTCCAAAAACCCTCGTCACGAAGAATCCAGGATTCCTGGGACCTTCTAAAAAACATTCCGAAAGCCTTCGTCGTGAAGGATCCAGGATTTTCGGAACCTTCCAGATAAATCTCCCAAAAACCTTCGTCGCGAAGATTTTTGGAAGGTTGTTTGGCCAACCCCTCATGGATTCTTCGTGACGAGGGTTTTGTGGGGAAGGTTTTTCGCAAGGTTTTCGGAAGGTTATCGGAAGTTTGTTTGGAAGGTTTTTGGAAGGTGATTTTTGTTGTAGGTTGTTTGTAATGGTTGTTGGAAGGTTTTTGGAAGGTTGTGTTGGAAGGTTATTTGGAAAGTTGTTGGGAGGCTTTTGGAATGTATTGGGCGGTTTCGCTAAATTTTGGAAGGTGTGTTGGAAGGTTTTTGGAAGGATGCTGGAGGTTTTTGTTGAAGATGTTTGGAAGGTTTTTCCCCAATCAGAGCTTGGCTCTGTAGGGGGCCTAGCCAATTCATATGGTTAGGTTACTGTAGGTTTGCCGCCGATTTTCGCCGCACGCCCGGGTGTCTGGGGGTGTCCGGGGGTGCCCGGGTGCCCGGGTGCCCGGGCGTGCCTGGGGGTGCCCGGGTGCCCAGGGGTGCCCTATAGCCTTATAGCCCAAATAGTCCGATAGCCCATATAGTCATATAGACCCAATAGCCCATATAGCGCCCAAGAGCCCATATAGTCTTGTAACCCTATAGCCCTACAGCCCTAAAAAGATTATGATCGGGGCTTTTCTCCAGTATCGTTGGAAGGTTTTTGTAATGTATTGGGCGGTTCCGCTAAATGCTGGAAGGTTTTTGGAAGGTTTTTTGAAAGGTTTTTGGAACGTTTTTGGAACGTTTTTGGAAAGGTTGGGGGGTCCTCTGTAGGGGTCCTAGCGGGTTCACATGGTTAGGTTAGGTTTGTCGCCGATTTTCGCTGCACGCCCGGGTGCCCGGGTGCCCGGGGGTGCCCGGGTGCCCTGGGGGGGCCCGGGGGGGCCCCGGTGTCTGGGTGCCCAGGTGCCTGGGTGCCCGGGCGTGCCCGGGCGTGCCCGGGGGTGCCCTATAGCCCTGTACCCCTAAGCCTTGTAGCCCCCTAGCCCTATAGCCCTGATTGGGGTCTTTCTCCGGGGTCATTTGAAAGGTTTTTGGGAAGGTTTGTTTGAAGGTTCTTGGGAGGTTTTTTGAAAAAAAACCTTCCAAAAACCTTCCTCGCCTCCCCCCCGGGAAAACCTTCCAAAAACCTTCATTACAAAGAATCCAGGATTCTTCGTGACGAGGGCATGTGGATGGTTGTTTTGGAAGGTTCCAGGAATCCTGGATTCTTCGTGGCGAGGATTTTTGTTAGTTTTTTTGGAAGGTTCCAAGAATCCTGGATTCTTCGCGAGAGGGTTTTTGGAAGGTTTTTTGGAAGGTTCTGGGAATCCTAGATTCTTCGTGACGCAGGTTGTTGGAAGATTTTTTGGAAGGTTCCAGGAATATTCTATTCTTCGCGACAAGGATGTTTGGAAGGTTTTGTGAAAGGTTTGTCCGAAAACCTTGCAACAAACCTTCCGAAAACCTTCAAAAAAAACACATTCCAAAAACCTTCCAAACAAACCTGCCAAACAAACCTTCCAAGAACCTTCCAACAAAAACCCTTCCAGAGAGCATAAGAATGTTTGGGATGGGGGCCTCTCTGGGCCCACGCTCTCGCAGCCTACGCAATGCCGCACTGCCCTGACTCCAGATCCGCCCTACTTTGGCTTTTTCCCCAACTTAAAATTGCGTCGGAAATCCACCCATAAGAAGCCGAAAAAGTAGGGCGGAAACTTCTGCACCCAACATAGAATAGGGCGAACATCCACAGAAATAGGGCGGAAACAACCACAGAAAAGTAGGGCGGGAATTGGCATCGGCGGGGCTTGAAAAGCAAGCCGGAAATTCCAAGCCCTACTTACGAATTTCCCCAGAGTAGGGCGGATCCGGAGTCAGGGTGGGCAGACAAAAGATGATGACCCCCCTTCCAGCGGCCCGGCGGGGGATCTGCCGACCCACCTTGCGCACAAAGCCGGCAGCCAGACAACTCCCTCCGGCCGCCGTGGTGGGGCCGCCTGCGCTGCGCAGGCCCGGGGCGCCGGCCGCCCCACGCCGCGCTGCTCCGGACCCCGGTGTGTTGCCCTGCCCTGCTTCCGCCTCGCTGCCTCCCTCGGGGCGATCGAAATCGGTACGGAAAAGAGGGGCACGCTGCCCAACAGCAGTTGACGCTCATTTTTGTTAAAGGACTCGCTGTCCGCGCCGCCGCGGGGGTTCTTCTTTGCAGGCAAACATCCGCCCGCCCAACAGCGGCCGCTGCCGTTTTTGGACAAGATTTGCTGTTGGGCATCGTGCCCATGTCGGGCGTCCAAACCACAGCTCTGCCTGGACACTCCGTCTGGCTCCTCACGGCAGCCCCTTTCCAGGAGGCCACCAGCAATGCCTGGCACTTTTGGCCAGCCAGTTTCTGCGAAAACGACCTCTGAAGGTCCTGGCTCCCATCGGCATGTTGCCCCCCCGCCCATTCGGCGATGGGTTGCCTCTCGACGGTCCTGGCGCCGCCCCCTTTCGGCAGCTCGCACCAAGACGCACTGCCTGGGCCCACGCCTGCGTCCCGTGCCCGAGGCCTTCTGCGCGCTCCTCATGCCACAGACTCCGTGGACGAGGCCACCCCCCTTTTCCCAGCTTCCGCGGCCGCCCTCTCCCCTCCCACCTGAAGCAGTGCGCCTGTAGCGCGGCGCGGCCCGCCAGCTCTCGGTAGCGCTAGCGACCGCTAGCGCTCGATCCGATCCTCCTGCTCCTCCTCCTCCTGCTCCTCCTCCTCCTCCTCCTCCTCCTCCTCCTCCTCCTCCTCCTCCTCCTCCTCCTCCTCCTCCTCTTGCTCCTGCTCCTCCTCCTGCTCATCCTCCTCCGCCTCCTCCTCCTCCTCCCCCTCCTCCTCGTACTCATCGTCCTTAGCCTCCTCCTCCTGCTCATACTCCTCCTCCTCCTCCTCCTCTTCATCCTCCTTCTCCTCCTCGTCCTCCTCCTCCTCCTCCTCCTCCTCCCCTCCTCCTCCCATCCTCCTCATCCTCGTCCTCCTCCGCCTCCACCTCCTCTATTCCCCCTCCTCCTCTATCTCCTCCTCCTCCTCCTCCTCCTCCTCCTCCTCCCTCGTTCCTCCTCCTCTTCCTGCTTCTCCTCCTCCGTTTCCTCCTCCGCCTCTTCTTCTTCCTTCTGCTCCTCCTCCTCCTCCTCCCACTTCTCTCCCTCCTCAGTATTGGATCCGCGTTCACTTCCCCATCATCATGCGCTTGGAGCTTGGCCCCGCAGGTCGTTGCCGTTGATGGCCTTTACAAGAACGAGGGCTGCTCGTGCCTGGAAGGCAACCCCTGCCTCGTTCCCGAGACCTGCGTCGACTGGGCCAACCGCGAGGCCATGGAGCGATTCCGTTTCCCTCGCTTTGGTTCTTCTCGCTTCTTCGCCCCCCCCTTCCTCCACCCCGAGTCTTCCCCCGTCTCCTCACCCTCCCTCCTCCAACTACTGCTCCTGCTACTGCCTCCTGTCCTCTTCCTCCTCCTCCTCCTCCTCCTCCTCCTCCTCCTCCTCCTCCTCCTCCTCCTCCTCCTCCTCCTCCTCCTCCTCCTCGTCCTCCCACTACTCCTCCTCCTCCCCCTCCTCCTCATCCTCCTTCTCCTCCTCCCCCTCCTCCTTCATCCTCCTCCTTTTCCTCATCTTCCTCCTCCGCCTCGTCCTCCTCCTCTTCCGCCTCTCCCTCTTCTGAGACGAGATAGTTTCAACCGTGCGTCGAGGCACTAAGCCAGCACGCGCTGTCTGATGATCATCTTTAGGCATTCCGATGTTGATAGTACCATCTATTCGCAGAATGGGTCGATGACGATTGAGTGTCAGGACGACGTTTAGTGGTTGTCGCCTGCCTGCAACGCCAAACGCTTGCGTGCCTTATATCGAGTAGTTATCTTGGCGCGCGGGAGAGATGATGCAGCAGGCAACGCACAAAGATCTTCCAATCGCTGTTGGGAGCGCTCAGTCTTACGAAAGCGGGTCAGATGTGGTGGAGCACGACTGCGTTCTCACCTATTGGTATGAGCCTGACTTCGTCGTTCGTCTCGCATGATTCACGCCCGATCGTGTCTTCATTGTACAACCGAAGAGTATGCTCGAGGTCTTTGGATCACCTCGTTCTCGTCCTCCGATCTCTTCAAACTTCCGGCACAAGGATTACGGATTGCCATTGGCGTCATCCATCATATGGTTGTAGTGTTGTCGATTAGTTTTCACGATATCATGGCCAAGGTGGGCACAATTGTGATGCAGTCGCGCACTCATCATGATTATGCGTGCGATTGACTGCGCGACAATTTGGGTAAGTGGCAGAACTGGTTGCCAGATGAGACAGACTGCGGAGCCGGCCAGGACGTGGTCAATGACGAGGGCAGTTTCCTTGAGTAGGGGAACGAAGAATGACATAAACATGAAGACTCGGAGGTCCGCGCGGATTTCTCGGATCCGCGCTGGGGCCCCCTGGCGGCGCCTCCGGCGCCGCCCCTGGCGCGCTCCGCGCGCCAGGGAGGGGGGTCCAGCGCGCAACCGAGAAATCCGCGCGGACCTCCGAGTTTTCATGTTTGTGTCATTCTTCGTTCTCCTATGGAGACAGTGGCTGGGGCGACCGGCTCTGATCTCTGCACTGCCGGAGTGTTCTCTGCTGCTTGGAGCAACGTGTGCGCCCCATGTCCGGCAGGGAGGAGCACGAACAGCGGCCGGGGTGAGCTCGAGTGCTCCGCCTGCGCCCCTCGCGCAAGAGTCCGCTCCGGGCCAAGCTACGTGCACCCTGTGCGCAGCTGGCAAGCACGTGGGCGTTCCTGAAAGCAGCGAGCGCCAACCATGCAAAGGCGACCGGACAACGGCACACCCAGCTTCGCTTGGCGTTGACCCGCGTGTCCTGCGCAGAGCACACGTACAAGTCCGCTGCCGGTGTGGGCATTGCTTGCGCGCTGGGTAGCGACATCCAGAGTATCGCACACGGCCCAGGGTCTTTGCGTACAACCAGCCGCCGTCCCCGAAACTTAAGCCAGGCTGCGCGTCGCTCGCCTCCGACCCCATGCGCGGTGCCTGCCAGAGGGCAACTGTCCAGGCAGCGGCAGGGCTCGGAGCGACCCGCTTGCGGCGCGTGCAATATTGGCACGTTCTCTTCCGGCGGCAGTTGCCACAAGTGCCAGCCTATGGATGGTCTGCCCCTAGTCTCCTTCGGCGCCTTCGCAGTCGTCGGCCTCGCCCTGATGACCTCCGCGGCTGACCGAGACCCCTCGCTGAAGTCCAAGGCTGCGACCACGACCATTCGGCGGGCCTGCTGCTCAGTGCGATCCAGACATTAGGCATTATCGACCAGCTGTTCATCGAGCGGGCCAATCCCGTGCTAACCATATTTGGCATGTCCGCGCGGCTATCTTCGACCTTCAGAACCTGCGCACCAGCTGCATCATAGGCCCCAGCCCAGCGAATGTCTTCATCCTGATGCAGCTCGTCGCTCCAATGTGCCTTCCAATTGTGCTCGTGTGATCCTTATCACGAAGAAGGTGTGGCTCCCGTCTGCAACTATCACGCGCTCTTCATCTCGATTGTTATCGCTGTGATGTCCCCTTTCATTTGCCACCAGCACCCTGGGCCCTCTGGGAGCTGGTCGATGGCGAGCGCCAGGGAGCCGGCTGATGCTGAGCGCCAGCTCCGTCCTGTGCTTCGATGGCCAGCGCCATGACGCGATGATGGCGGTGGAGGTATTGTCCTTAGGGTTGGTTTCGCTGCCCTTCCTGGCCTTTGCGTTCGACTCACTTGCCCCCGCTTGCCCAGGGCTCTTCGGCGCGCTCGCGGCAGACGCTGCAGGCCATGCGCTTCCAGCACTTCCGCTCCTGGCCGCGCGGGCACTACGGGGCCCAAGATTCGCGCCGCCACCGCCTCCCCCAGCCCCCCCCCCCCCCAAGGAAAGATGAGTGAAAGAGGGGGCTGGAGGAGGGGCAGAAGAATGAAGACGGCGGTGGCGGCGTGCATCCCAGGGGCCCGCAGGTACTTCCACGGCAGCCCTGTGCTCTCCAGGGGCCTCGCAGTCTGCTTGGTGCCCACTGTGGTCCTCGACGATGTTGCGATCTAGACCTGCGCCATGGCCGCCTGGATTAGCTTCTCAACGCCGATGCACCAGCAGCTCAATACATGGCTCAATTTCCCGGCTAACTGCATTGATGGGGTGCTGAACGCATAGCTGGTGATGCCGGCGCTCTCCGGGACAATGCTTGCAAGCCTTCAGGCCGACCCCGTAACAGTTGAGTACATTGGGTTGTTGATGGTTTTTCTCGTCTTCGTCGTCGCAGGCACGATGGTCACTGCGGGCCTGTGCAATCGCACATATTGCCCCGATATTGGTACGCACCATTATTTAATTTCCCCCTGCAGAGCGGATTATGCCGCGCAAGTGCGCTTGTTCAAAATGCGAAAACGCACCAAGGCCTTTCCATCGACTCGGACAATGTGACGGAGCTTGACGACCTCTTCGACAGTGTCGAGTGGCAGGTGAACCACATCGTAGGGCATCTCGTCGACGACACCCCAGGCCCGCCCTGGTGCGCCGCGGAGATCGCGACGGCCTTCCACGCTGACAGAGCGAGGGCCGCAGCCGCGATAGGCTCGTCGTTCTAGCCGCCGACAGAGGACCAGCTGGATCGAGTCGCAGAGCACCTCGATCTCACAGCTTGCGCCCCAGAGGGAACACGGCACATCGTTGGGCCGCGCGCTTGGGGGACAGCTGCGACATCAGCGCGGGCGCGATTGCGTATCCGCCGTCGTTCTTGCCGGGGGGCCTGGAGCGTGCATTAGTCATATCGTAACATCGCGTGGACATGGGGGTCGCGGCGGCCGCTGCCATCTTGAACGCGAGGGCCCACAGGCGGGCCACGTCCCTGACGGACAGGGGGGCCCTCATGAAGCAGGAAACCACCCGGCGGAGCTTGCGACGCACAGCTATTTCGTCAGATATGTAGTCGCGCGCCACTATCGTGTTGTTGTCGCAAGACTCGACGAAGAATGCAGAGCAGCTTCCGTTGATCACCTTCGCCATGTCCGCGGCGGCGCAGCTCGCGCAAGGTGGCGACGAGGCGACGATGCTCAGGATGCCGACGAGCGCGACGGCATGCTCGTTGGTCGTCCTAGTTTTCGTCGGCGGCATCAGGTTCCCCCTCGATGGCAACCGCGACGAGGAGATGCCGAAGGTCCCCCCAGAGCTGGCCGAGGCTGCGCGGCCCCGGGTTCGGGCCGTCTTCAAGGTCATCACCCATTAGTTTCCATCATGGCTTCTGACCTGGCGTTGAAGACCCAGTCGCAGGAGGTGCTCAATCGCGCGCCCAGGAGGCAGCGCAGGGTTGATTCCACTTGGAGTGTCGTGTCCGCAGCGAGCCGCGGGACGCTCGCGGCGGCCCCAGCGTCTGGCGCTGCGTTCTCGGAAGCCAGCGCGGGGCAGATCACCCTGGATGAAGGGGGGCGGGGAGGGGCAGCGCGAAGAGGGGACGAAGGCCACCACCCACATAGCAGAAAGATTGGCGCCACCGCTGGGGACCGCCTCAGAGGAAGCCCATTCCTCTGCCGCAAAGCCAGAGCTGAACCTCGAGATCGCCCCGCACGAGACGGTGGTCGGTGCGGCGGAGAAAGCATACTTCTGGCGGCCCCAGTGGGAATTGCCCGTCGAGGTGTGCGCAGACGCAGCCGAATCTAAAACCCACATGATGCAGATCGACAGGGCCAGGGCCATCGTTCGCGATGATGATCAGGGCCATCGTGCTGCCAGTGCCGCCAGTCTTCGCGATGATCCGACGGCTGGGGTCGGTATCCACGATCCCCCAGAGCCTCCTGCCATTGCAGCTCCCGCTGGGCTTCAGGGCCCTCGTGCTGGTGTAGTCGGCCCTACGTCTTTTCCAGCTCCCGTCCCCCGCACTCCCCCTGCGTCTTTCTCCGTCGACGAGGCGGTGAAGAAGCGGAAGATCAAAAGGAAATCAAACATTGTGGAGCAAGGTTGAGGAATGCGCATCGGTTGCTGGCGCCGCCCGCGGCGCTGTCGAACCAGCCTGTAGGCCCCCTTTGTTGTTTTTTTGTTGTTTTTTGTATGTCAGAGAGCGATTGCCAGAGCGCGGGCACAGCGCCAGCTCAGCGAACGGGCATCTGCATTTAGTCCGGAGCGCCGCGCAACGGCAATCGCTCGTCGGAGAGGTAGCGCCTAAGACAACGTTGCACTTCAGGCCAAGCAACAGGAGGGGGCAGGACTTGAGCGCAATGGGCAGATCATCACGCAGGCACGAACAGCTGCTGTCTTTCGGCGCGCTACTTGCCGATGCGCGACGGCAGGCGCAGCCAAACACTACAAAAACGCGCGCGATCGC